AGGGATGAAGACTTTTCACGGGAAGGTTCAGCTGACCTGGGAAAAGAAGGAAGAATGACACATGATAGCTCTTCAAGTAACTGCTAGCTGGAATAATGTTCTGGCTGAAAACACTGTTTAACCAGGCTAGAAGCGAGGTACCTATCTTGACAGCAGACATTGGGAGCATTGCACATTTTTTTGTTATCGCACGGCTTTGTTGCACAAAACAGAGTTCCCACTGTTGCAATCTGGACGGTGTATTTCAAAACATGAATTACGGATTAGTCCCTGGCGCTGATTTATGAGACAATACCAGTGCCACAGAGGATTTATAACCCATGTAAATGATTCATGGAGTACATGTTTTACGAGATGGGTCCTCAGCGTGTGTAAACCGGCCTTGATGCACACGCAGTGGTGTGTGCTTCCCAGGCCGCCTTGGAAAAGCAATGTCCTCGGAGAGCCCCACCGGGATTCGTCCTGCCCCTCTGCCCACTCCCACACCTGATGCGTGGGCTTTGGGAGAGCCACCCCTCTCGGGATGGAGGGGGGAAGCGGTAGCACGGACCCGAGCTGTGACGGTGCCTTCTGTAATACTGATGTAGCCCTGTAGAGGGAATGCTTTGGTAAGACTTCAATGAGGCTAAATATCACCGTGTTTCATCAGGGACCAAATTCATTTTTTATGTCACCTGCTGAGTTCAAGAGTTAACATCAAGAGCAATTTTACCCAGTGGGTTGGGTTTTTCTTTCCCTCTAAAATTCTTATCATGATATAATTCCCTTTAAAATTTCATCCCTGACTGAAGAGGGTGGAAGTGTCCATTTGATTCAGTGCAAGGGATAGACTTTGATGCTGTCTTACATGGGCATCAAACGCTTAAGATGACATGCATATTAAAAGTGCTTTTCACTGGCAGCTTGCAGAAGGCCCCATGGCCAGATGTAACAAAAAGGAATCATGTTGTTTACCAACTTCTCCTACGCTTCATCTTAAATTGGCACAGGGAAATCATAATGTCTCCTGAACACGGGGAAACAGGCTTTGTTCAGTAAAACTAAAATCACAAAACCATCAAAAATACTCTGGCGTTATGCATTATTTGTGTTGATTAAAAACCTGCCTGCAACACCGGGTTTGCTGAGGAACATAAAACTGTGCACTGATCTAGTCCTTTCCCTCCGAGATATCAAAGCACTTTAAAAACCTTCCCTCATCCCAGCCCCGGGATCCACTGTGCCCATAGATCATCTGGGTCACAGACACTTTCTGATACCACCAAGCTTCATGCCTCTGCTCTAGCACTGCTGCTTTGCCTTTCCAACCTAACGGGATTTTCCTCTCCTGTAATGCAACATCCGCCTTGAAGGGAAGGTGAGGGAGCAGAACAGGCGACCACGCATGGTGTCCACCCGATTCAGGTCTCACTCAGAACTGCTGACCCCATCCCTCTCTCTTCGTTGCTAATGGGGGAGTGTTGCACCGGGTGTTTGTGAGGACCAGATGTCACCTGGACACCCAGCAGCTTCAATGCGACCTCCAGAGCATACAGGACTCCGGATGCCCAAGCACAGCAGGTCACCATGCCTCAATGGCCACCTGGGCACCAGAATGACAGCAAACCCCTTGTGGATGGCGGCAGGGTGGATCTGTGCCATTAACTTTTCCGAAAACAGACATACCCATGAAGTACTGAAAGCAAGTCTTAATCATCACAGGGACTTCCTCCGTGGATATTAATAATCTCCTCGCTTCCTCTGAGGAGCCCCCCTGTCTGCTGGGCTCGGAATCTGCCGAGGCATCAGTAAAGCTCAAACTTTGCAAGGTTTCACCTAGAAAAAACAGCCTTGCTTGGAAAAAAAAGATGAAGCAAACATCAGTGACGCCCAGCAATCCACTGCCTGGGCTGGGCACCACCACGGTGTAGCTGCACCTGTGTCTGTGGTGCAGCCACCGGAGGCTTCTCCTCCCCTGTTGACTTTGGCCAGCGAGGAATGATTGCTCTGCAGGGTTCCCCCTGCTCCGCTCCTCCTTCCCCCAGCCACCGGCCGGGGATCTGCTAGTCACATCACTGCTTGGGAGGGGCCAGGAGAAGCGCTTTCCGCTTCCTGTGGGGAAGGATGTGATTAAAGCCTTGTAAATAAAAAGCTTGGCTCGGAAAATGCCTGGGTGCCTTCAAGACACGACGCAGCCACCAGCAGTGGCGGTGTGCCCCGTTACAGAGGGTGCTACCTCCTGGTGGCCTGGCTCAGCGTAGTGAGAAGCAGGAGATGGGGCACAGCCTGATCACACACCACGCTGGCGGTGGCCTGTCTGGGACCTGTTGGAAGCGGTCCCAGACCCCGGGAGCAGTGACCTCTCAGCACAGAAACCTACAGGAATCCAAGGCCTAAGGGCTGACTGAGGAGGGGTTGACCGACTGAAGCTGGGACTGCACCTTCTGGAGAGCTGCCACCAAGGTGAGCACCTAGGTGGGAGCACAGCTCTGGTGCTGCTCCTGGTCCCAGGTGGCCGCTGCTCTACCTGCTTAGAGAGATCCTCCCAGAAGCGAGCAAACCGGCCTCACCGCTGCCTTGCTCAACGTGATTCCCTCCTCTCTATGCAACCACCCTGCTAGTGGAGAATTGTCCTCTTCACATCTTCGTGTCTGTACACCCTGCCACTAGGGATCCATCCCGCGCTTATCCCACGTGAAGTGAACTGGTGTCCACGCTCCGTCCTGAGCTCCTCTTACCCTTTCGATAATAAAGGAATAAAAGCTACTTTGGGAGAAGAGAAGGGCCAACAGAGCCCATGGAGGGGATGAACTCCTCCTGGGAGCAGTGAAGTCCTGTGGTTCTGCTTCTGCAAGGAACAGGCAGTCGTCTTAGTGTGCCAAGGGCGTATCTGGGCTCAGAAACCCAGGAGCACAGACTCGTGCAGAAAAACATCCAAGAAACTGCAGCTTTACTGACTGAGGCTTAGGAAGATAACACCAAAGGGCAGAAGTTGCAATCCTCCATCCCTCTCCATTCTGATGTTCCCTCCATGCACAGGCCATCTGCTCCGCATCCCACGCTCTGGCATCAGATTTGATGTTTCTTCATAGCTAGAGGGTGTCTTGACCAGCTTTCCAGTGTGGTCAGAAAGCTGAGGTTGCACTGGGTTAACCCTGGAGTCAAATCATTTACTAAGGTTCCTCAGAAACACAATGCTGGCGATTCCCTGGGGCTTTTTAAGGGTACTCTTGCAGGGAAATAGCTGGCAGCACTGCTCTGTCCTGGTGCATCTTTTCATTTTTACAACGCGCTACCGGCCAAAAGGAGCCTACAGAGAGACAGCATAGCCCAAGGAAAAGTGCATTAGACTAAAAGTCAGGGGATATGATGCAAGGATATAGGAAATCTGCCTACACGTTGCCTAGGAAATCCACTTTCTGAACTTTCTGTACCCTTTACTGGGATCTGTGCGACGTGCGCAGAAGCGATGCTGCCACGCCTGCTCCTGACAGTAAGGACCACCGGCACCCGGCCAGATTTTACCGAGGAATAAGCGGCATCCGCGTCTTCAGGCCAGTTTCCTCCCGCCACCTCCGAGGTCTGAAGGAACACGCCGGCCCCAGAGAGGCGGCAGGGACGCCGGAGCCGCCTCCTTCGACC